TGGGATCGGGCCCTGCATCGGGCTCCCTGCTCGGCGGGAAGCCTGCTTCTCCCTCTCCCACTCCCCCTGCTTGTGTTCCCTCTCTCGCTATGTCTCTATCTGTCAAATAAATAAAATCTTTTTTAAAAAATGAAGTAAATATTGTTTTTAAGACTTTATTTATTTGAGAGAGAGAGAGCATGAGCAGGGGGAGGGGCAGAGGGAGAAGCAGATGCCTTGCTGAGTGGGGAGCCTGATGCAGGGCTCGATCCCCAGATTCCGGGATCATGACCTGAGCTGAAGGCATACGCTTAACTGACTGAGCCCTACACACGCCCCAGAAGTAAATATTTTTAAGAAGCAAACAAAAACACAAACTGAGCATGCTGAAATTTCAGAACAGCAGAAGTATTAAAAAAAAAAAAAGCAGGATCGCAAAGTTCAAACATATCAATTTAGTATCTAAAAGGTTTTTTCTTTTTAAATTTCAACATTATGTTCTTAAGGGGAAAAGTTCTCAAGTTTTCCCAGAACTGCATGATCTGAATACTTCCTGCAGACTTTGCACAACAGGATTTGTCAAAATGTTGTCAAGGGTATTTTCCAAGTTATACCTAGGATCAAGAGGGTTTTTCTTTCAAGGCCATCAAGTTTCTTTTTAAAGAAAAGCCAGTCAAGGGTGGTTCAGCGTCAGTCAACGTAACAAACCACATTCATTGAACAAAGAGGGAAACAACATGATCACCTCAATTAACACCAAAAAAAGCATTTGGCAAAATACAAACCCTTTTGTGATAAAAAAAAAAACGTCAGAAAAGTAGGAACAGAAAGGAACTTCAATGTAATAAGGCACATTTATGAAAAACCTACAGCTCACATATACTTAGTGGTGAAAAACTGGAAGCTTTTCCCCTAAGATCAGGAACAAGACAAGAATGGTCACTTTTACTACTGCTATTAAACAATGTCCTGAAGGTCTGAGCCAAAGCAATTAGACAAGAAAAAGAAATAAAAGCCATCCAAATTGGAAACAAAGAGATAAAATCATCTCTAATCATAGTCGGCATGATCCTATACAGGTTTCCCTGCTACCCAAAAGTAGAGAGGTTCTTATGAAACCTTTCCTAAGTTGAAATGGCATAAAACAAAGCAGAAATTACCATTAATTTATATGGAAACATTTTTGAGCATTCCTAGACCCATAAAATAACCTCTCTTTTCTGGGTAGCTTAGGACACATCTTGCTAATGGATGCACAAAATAAATCAAGACAAAGCTCAGATGCTCACAGACATAGTTCAAAGCTATGGTGGCTTGAGGCTGAGTTGCTGAGTGTAGTTCTTGCCAAAGGAGCTTGGCAGTGCTACGGCCACTGCTCAGGGTATGTGCTGCCTCTTTAACAGCTCTCTGCAAAACAAACACTGAATGCTATTTTCACTTTTCACCTTTTCTCCTAAAAGCAAAAATCCTCTTCTGATTTCTTCCGGTTAGCAAAAACAGCTACTAATGTAGATCTAATGTAGGTCTTTTACAAAAGCAAAGTGGCATAACGTGAACTTTCAAAAAGCAGGAGATACCTGTGTATAGAAAATCCTAAAGAATCCACACATACAAAAAAAACCCAAATAGGAGTAATAAACAAGCTAAGCAAAATTGTAGGATACAAGATCAATTAGTTGTGTTTCTATGTACCAATAATGAACAATCTGAAAAGGAAATTAGAAAACAATTCCAGGAGCACCTGGTGGCTCAGTCGGTTAAGCATCTGCCTTTGGCTCAGGTCATGATACCAGGGTCCTGGGATCAAGCCCCCCATTGCACTCCCTGCTCAGCAGGGAGCCTGCTTCTCCCTCTCCCTCTCCCCCGAGTTTGTGCACTCGCATGCTCTCTCTCTCAAATAAATAAAATCTTAAAAAAAAGAAAACAATTCCATTTACAGTAGCGTCCAAAAAAATAAAATATCTAGGAATAAATTTAACGAAGGAGGTGAAAGACCTGCACAATGCTGGTGCACAAAACATTGCTGAAAGAAATTAAAGAAGACCTAAATAAATGCAAGCCATTCCATGCTCATGGATTGGAAGACTTTCTATTATTAAGGTGGCCCTACTACCTGAAGCAAGATACAGATATAGAACTGCAAGGGAACCCAAATAGCCAAAACAATCTTAAAAAAGAACAAAGTTGGGGCGCCTGGGTGGCTCAGTTGGTTAAGCGACTGCCTTCAGCTCAGGTCATGATCCTGGAGTCCCGGGATCGAGTCCCACATCGGGCTCCCTGCTCGGCGGGGGGTCTGCTTCTCCCTCTAATCCTCTTCCCTCTCGTGCTCTCTGTCTCTCATTCTCTCTCTCTCAAATAAATAAATACAATCTTTAAAAAAAAAAAAGAACAAAGTTGGAGAACTGACACTTCCCAGTTTCAAAACTTACTGTGAAACTACAGTCAAAATAGTTAGTACTGGCATAAGGACACACATCTAGACCAATGGAACAGAAAGAGAAGTCCCAAAATAAACCATACAACTATGGCCAATAGATTTTTGATGAAGATATCAAGACCATTCGATGGCAGGGAGGGGAACTTGGACAGTCAGAAGAGCATGCAACTCTTAATCTCAGGGTTGTGAGTTCAAACCTCATGTTGGGTATAGACATTACTAAAGAAAATAAATAAACTTTAAAAAAAATTTTAAAAAAAGATCATTCAAAGAGGAAAGAATAGTCTCTTCAACATATGGTTCTGGGACAGCTGATTTCCACAAGCAAAAGAATGAGGTTGGACTCCTAACTCAGACCATACACAAAAACTAACTCAAAATGAGTCAACAACTAGGGCGCCTGAGTGGCTCAGTTGGTTAAGCATCTGACTCTTGCTTTTGGCTCAGGTCATGATCTTAGGGTCGTGAGACTGAGCCACCCCCCCAACCCACCCCGCCGACCCCTGGGTCGGGCTCTGTGCTCAGCATGGAGTCTGTTTGAGATTCTCTCTCCGTCTGCCCCTCCTGCTCATGCTCTCACTCTCTCTAAAATAAATAAATAAATCTTTTTTAAAAAAATGAGTCAAGAACCTAAATATAAGAACCAAAACCACAAAAAGTTTAAAAGAAAACATAGGAGTAAATTGTCGTGACCTTGCAGTTGGCAATGGATTCTCAGATGTGACACCAGAAGCATAAACATAAAGAAAAAAATAGACAAAGTAGGCCTCATTCAAATTAAACACTTTTGTGCATCAAAGGGCACTCTCAAGAAAGTGAAAAGACAGCTTACAGAATGGGAGAAAATATTTGTAAAACACATATTTGATAACGGTTTAGCATCCAGAGTACGTACGGAAGTCTTACAACTTAACAACAAAAAGACAACCTGATTTTATA